CATTTACTATTATCTAAACTTTAACACCCTATGTACGCTGTAAAGTAATATTTCCTTGTTCATTCCATAACTAGCAGGACCTTCGGCAGTTTTTAGTTGAGTTTAATGGCATTTCATCAGTACCACTCAGGGCTCAATTCTTGTAGATATTTTCGGATGTATCAACGTGATGAAGCCTGTAAACTGGCTTCTCTCATGTTAAAATCTTTTTTAACGCGAGATTAAAACGTTAATTTATTTATATTGCGCGTGAGTAGAACTTCATAGCCTTCGCGCTGAAGTTTGCAACACTGTCAAGGAGATACATTGACTGTTAATTGGCTTCAATTAGATGGATTGATACAAGACAAATTACCAGAGAAATCTGTTGCATATCGTTATTCTGGATGTGTTGTCGTTAGGTAAATTGGCCTCTCGGGTTGGATTGTTTATACAGATTTCCGCTGCATTTGTCACTAACCAGAAATCGGAGACCAGTTATTGTGCTTGAGGTCTCGTATGTGGTAGCATTTAGGGTACTGGTAGGGAGGTGAGCTGGTTGTGAGGCTGTTCAAGAAACGGGAAAATCGGGGCGAGCCAGCTGGATACCTCTAACTTCAGTCTCTAGTATTAGGTACAAAGTAGGATTTCCAGTAAGTTGATATTTTTGGTCGGACTAATGCTTAGGACTTTCTCGTCAAGCTGATACTGAACAGAGAAAAGAAAAGAAAGCGCAGGGAAAAACTGGACAATGGAAGGTGCAGTGTCAGCACAGAAATCAGGGGGGTTAAGTTCGGTGCGGACTGGGCAAAAACGGACGTGACTGGGGGGACTGAATCTGATCATTTTCCAGTGTCATGGTCATTACTTGAGGATTAGAGTGCGGCGGATAAAACCTAAAGGGTGAAAGAACGAATATGCGTTGTAAGACATGTGGGTTCACAGCCATGTAGGTAATCACTTTGACCGTTTTCGTAGCAAGTTTTAGCCAGCTGTTGACGCTCTGTATCGTTAACAGTCTTGAAATCAGTGTTTGCAACAAGAGCGTAACCCATGGAGGAGCTTGAGTCAGGCTTGGCGGATGGATATTAAGAGCAAGAACATTTTGGTTTGTGAATAAACTGGAGGTTCCATCTGGATGGAAAGTGTCTGTACCTCTGGTATTAGAAACCGGGAATAAAGAATTATTTTTAGGTTTCAAGTCATCGGTCTTGAGTATCGTGTCAGCCTGCAGGTGTCTGGAGGCTGCACAACCACTCTCAACAGTTGCGAGGCTTTCTACACAACTCCTGGGTAAGGACGTGACAAAACCTATGCGCAGGTAAAGAAGTGTATAAAAAATTGTTACGTCCCTGCACCCCCGTTGTACTCTGGTTGTTGTTGGATCCCCAAGGATTCCGGTGAATGGAATGGGGGATTGAGCCCTGGAATTCTGCGATAAATCTGAATACTGACATTTCTTACTTAAAACGCCGTCACTGTAATCAGAGCGCCTCTTGTAAGGACCTTGGCAATCACAATGACTGCTAGAGCCAGTGACCCTTATCTGAGAGCCAGGTTGACCTGTGAATCTTGTCCCTCATGTGTCTTCATAGGGGCAGCCTGGTTGTAGGGCGAATGTGAGGAGGAACTTGGGGGATAGACTATCTCCTTCATGGTGCCCAAACGACGCACATGTTTGCAAGGTTGTTTGGAATAATATGGGATGGGATAGTTCCTAAGATAGCTGTCTGACGTTTTGAAGCTGTTGATTAATCGCATTTCATCTGATTTTCTGGCCGGGCTTACACTGCCAACTTGCATATGTATCCTGGAACTACTCAGTTGTGAATCGTGTAGCTCGAGCACCAGACAGTGTACACGACTGTTTTCCTCTCTGCTTGTTAGCGTAGTATTTTTCGACATATCTGAGAATCGTTTCTCACTCTGAGAAGTACTGTCGCTATTTGAAGGATAACTTGTGCTGATACCATGTACAGAGGTGAAACTGCTCCTTTGAGTGGATGTATCAACGGAATTTTCGTTTCTCTAAAAGCAGCTTGGTAGGGTGCCTTTACACGGTCGGCAAGGATTGAGGATAACCTCATGTTTGTTGTACTCGATGACTCTCGCTTATTTCGGTGGATTCTACGCTGACGCACTGTCTTGTCTGCTTTGGCTTTTACCCCTTTAAACTGCGTACACTTCCGGAATACTTTCTGATTATTATTAAAGTTTATGGCTTCGATGACATGAATAACCTGGAAGATTATGGGGCAGTACATATCATGTATGGCTTTGAGTAGTCTCCAGCGCTGACGCCAGGAGCTTGACGTGCCACAAGCGTTAGGTAATTCTTGTTTGACATTTCTTAGAGGCACCTTGCCTGGTATATTGAGGGTTACGAGGTTGTGCATACGCCCTGTTCGCTTTGCCAATTCACTGGAGACGTAATCAGTCAGAGTGTCAGTGTGTGCAAACGTGCCCGACTGTTTTTATATCTCCAGATATCGGGCTAATAAACGATAATAATAAATATTTTATTCTCAAATTAACAGTTTAACATGAGAGAAGCCAGTTTACAGGCGTCAACAAATTGATAATGGTAAATAAATCTTGGAAATAAACCTTGTGCCAAGTTGACCAAGCTATTTGCTTTGCGTGCTGGGATATGTGGTGGACAATGTGATGCCGACGGAGTTTTTATTAACTCACTGTTTTAAATTGTTTGATGCTTCTGTCATTTCGTTGCTAAGTTCTAGAACTGTCCGACTGTTTGTTGATTGACTGTATTGGGGCTGATGGGGCTTCTTGCGGAACTATACCCGAGTTTAGAGTGTCAACACTTGGTGGTAATACGTCCACTTCTGAGGGTCCATGGCTGTCTAAATCCACATCTGTAGGGTAAGACTTCGCCCCCAAGATGTGGCACTTAGATAATGATTGTACGCTGCCGCTGACGCTTCTTTCGCAGGCTGTGGGTCAGAACTGGAAGTATATTCCTGTATATCTACTACATCAAATATGATGTCTAATATCTTTCAAACGGATATTGGGGGGAGGTACCAAATCTGAAAGTTTTGAATCATTGCTTGGAGTACATTGTTCTGCCAAGGGTTTTTGGGTTGTACGCAAATCGTCGACAGAGGTTGGCCCACGTTTCTGTTAGCCCGAAGGAGGTGGTGTAGTTTAAAGAACTGATTTCCACCTCTCGCCTTTTCATGGAGAAATTAGGTGTTTGGTTGATTTTCTAGCCATTTTAATGAGTATATGAAGCCCTTAAAATTCGAATCCGACTATGCAAAGTCTTGTACTTATATACGGATTTTGAGGTTGGGACTTGCAGTTAATCTACGGTGCTAACAGGATAGAAAGATTATGCAAATTTCTGATGATGTTATTCCGAAGTTTGCTCATAGAATGCATTGTAAGAAGTGGCTATTTTGTCACAAAGCTAAACAGGATGTTCAGTTTTGTTTCGAGCACAGTAAACTGATATTAAATAAAATGGATACCATTCTTTGACAAGCAGTGGATGTACTCAGATTGCGGGAGCAGTCACTTCTGCTATTAATGGTAGTAGTACTTGATATTGCAGGTTGAGCAGTGAGATTCAGTGTGGGTGATATTTAGAGACCGCTTGAATACTTAAACAGGGCGATCGGTAAGGTATTCAGCCAAACAGGAATTGAATCTGGTGTCAAAGACAGATCAACCTGAGCGCGTTAGATAGCGTGTATTCGCGTTAGGTTCAAGGGCTGTGAATGCTATGCAGGTTAGAGCGTTAAAGAAAACTGGCCTAGTTATATTCTGTTTTCAACTAAAGATACCGATCGTACAGAAAACATGGTTTGGAGACATAAATATCATCCCTATGGGCGTTAATCCTTCTAGAGTCATAGAAATGTATTCACAGATTTAATAACCGATGCCGTGACTGTATGACATAAGTAAAAACTAACATGGCCCATGAGAATGGGAAAAGAGCAGTACTAACTAACCAAGCGGAAACGTAACGCACTCCTAGAGGATATCAGTGTGACCTTGCGAGTTGAAATGGTGAGAGAACTAAACGATTTTCCCAGGCACTTCTTTTTGTTATTTCAAACGGATGCGTTTTGTTGTCAAACTACAGTTAATACCAAGATGGTGAAAATCAGACAAGATGTAAAAAATGTGTGATGGAGGTATAAAAGGCTGTAAACAGTTGGATGAGTAGCATTACGCCCTAGAAACTAAAAACACTGTATCAGCTAGAAGAGACCCAGAATGGATGTTTAATGAAATGCCAATAGAATGCAGTAAAATGCTGTACATGCCTTAGCCATGGATTTCCAATGCATTGCATATTAGTTATCGGGACGATGGACCCGTATCACCAAATTGGTCATACCCGTAAACTGGTTTCTTCTTATGCTACTTGTGTTGCATGAAAACTTTGCGTCACTATATTATGTTACTGTGTATGCCAAATCAATAGTAAAACACCAATCCACTTTTCATCCACTGCAGCCTTCAGCAAACACCCGGGACTTCACTCGCAAATATTATGTGGTCTTCGTAGTAGCTTCTTCACAACAAAACACAGTCGTTACAGCTATCGGATGGAAGGAATGTACTTCTTCTCTCATTCAACCTCTTTTCGAAATTCACTTGGCCATGCATCAGGCACTAGTGGTCTCAGGCAACTATAGGCAACATTAATGGTAATGGAAGGCATCCGAAATGTTCCATATATTTGTTCATCCAGGATTCCAATTTCTTGTTCAGGGCTCTGATTTTCGTCCAAAGAAAGGTCGGTTTCCCGGAAGAAATTCAGAATGGTCGAAGCCAAACTATTCCATATACTTGTCACCCTTCGTGACGAATTTGCGAAACAACACTGATGGTTTCTTTTTTTCTCCCGTGGTAAAATTAGGGAGCCACTTAAAGATTCGTCATGAGCTTACAGTAGTGTACCGAAAAGATGAACAGTATCTGTGGCATTTACTTTTAAACTCAGGAGAGCCAGCTCTCTACGTCTTAACAAGTTTTTTGTTAGCATGATTACAACGGAATTGGATAAAGTAATGAATATTTGCATGAAGTTTGACAAGCTTGTGTTTAGCCCGACATGGTGAATGGCTTAATTCAGGATCAGTTCTGAAACCAATGGACACCCAGTGTATTCGCTGATATATCCGCGTCCGACATCTAGGGGAGGTGGTCTCTTTCATCTACTTGCCTTGGCAGCATCGTTTCAACCACAAGCGGCGGTGGTGGCACAGATGGGGATGTCATAACCAGGATCGGAAAGACAGCAAGACAGGCATTCATCAGTCCGAAATCGGTGTGAAGATCTACTGCACTCACCTTACAGCACAAGACGCGGATCTTCAGCACTAATGCCATGTCGATGCTCCTATATGGTTCAGAAAATGGCGCTTTATGAAAAGCACTTCGAACGAACCGCAGGGGTATATCAACAACAGCCGCCTTGGCGCATCGCAGTAACTCTCCTGGTAGCCCCCAAACCAAACCTAACAGGGTGGAAAACCCTAAATGGTGCTGGTTTCATAACACTTACGGAGACGAAGCCAGAAAATGTCGAAAACCATGCCGTTTTAACGAGGACACAAACTCGGGAAACAGTCACGCCGGCACGTGCTCACGGCAACCGTAGCCGGCGGAAAAAGCCGTTTGCTCTACGCCACAGATAGTAAAACGAAAGCCCACTACCTCGTCGACACCGGCGCAGAAGTTAGCGTTCTTCCAGCAACGACAAAGGAGCGTCATCTTGACCCATCCTTCAATCTTCAAGCAGCCAACGGCAAGGCAATCGCGACATTCGGGAGACGGTATGCCTACCTAAACTTAGGTTTACGCAAACCTATCCACTGAATTTTCCTCCTGGCAGACGTCTCTATGCCCATCATTGGCATAGATTTGCTAAACCATTACGATCTACTTGTAGATGCTCGCCGTCGACGTCTGATAGATAACAACACTAAGCTATCTATTGGCGGCACCACCTATGTAGGTCCGAGTTTAGCCATCGTTAGAGCCAAACAATCAGGCGACGCGTCCTACCTAGCAGTTTTAGAGAACTATCCAGAGTTGCAGCAACCGAAGCACACTCTTCCATGCATAACCAGCAATGTTATGCATCACGTGACAACCACAGGTACACCTGTGGCATCCAGAGCGCGCCGTTCGGCCCCCAATAGGCTCAAAACTGCGAAAAACGAATTCGACCACATGTTCGAACTGGGCATTATCAGACCGTCAAACAGTCCTTGGACATCGCCATTGCACATGGTGCCCAAAAAGGATAGCAACGACTGGCGTCCAACCGGTGATTACCGAAGGCTCAACGCCAAAACAACTCCGGACTGCTACCCGATACCTCACGTTTACGACTTGACTGCAACCTTATGCAGAATGAACATTTTCTCAAAAATCGACTTGGTCAAAGCGTACAACCAGATACCATGGCAGCAGAAGATATCTCGAAAACAGCCATTATTACTCCTTTTGGCCTGTTTGAATTCCTGCGCATGCCATTTGGTCTTCGGAATGCAGCGCAAACATTCCAATGCTTTATGTATGATGTCTTCCGTGGTTTGAATTTTGTTCATGTCTACATCGATGACTGTCTAATTGCGAGTCCAGATAAGGAAACTCATCAATTTAGGATTTGTCCTGGTGCGAACTTGACAGACGCAAAGACCAATCACTAATTATTCGAACTTGTTATATACCCACGAATACGAGACCAAGGAAGAACACGATAGCGTAGTCGGATGGAATGGCATATCTGGACGGTTGTGCCAAAATACCGATGCGTTCCAACTAACTGGCTAGAGAGTGGAATACGAGCAATGCAACGTAACACGACAGCGTGCCAAATGGCGAGGATGCTTGACCGGGTGCCTTCAGCTTAGCGAGTGCAGTTAAACTACCAAGCTCAGCATCAATGTCGAAAGTCATCAAACCCTAGGCTATTGATTTTGGGGAAGTGTGTGACGCTACAGCAGTTCACTAATTCCACAACACGAATTTTGAAATGTTATTTCTGTCATTTAAGTAAAAATTGTGACAACTTCTACCATTTACAAGAAATGCTGTGAGAATAGAGTATCTGATTTATTCATTAAGGTAGTGAACTAAAGGTAGCCGTAAAAAACACAAAATGTAGCGCGCGAAGGAGTTCAAAGTCATATGTAAAAAAAGAGCGGGACTTCGGTCATAAGATGACCTTCACCGCACATATCAAGAACCTCACGAAGCTAGGTAGACCACGTTCGCATTTGGTGTTCCCGAATGTACACCTCAAAAGTTTTCTCAAGCAGTACCGAATGTTGTAAGGGATTCTGATATAATTTCTCCGTCTTTCACCGGTGACAATGATAAAGAATATCCCAAACACATACATGAACTCGTTGATCGTATTAGTTCGCTTACACTTTTGGAGGTTGCAGACTTATCCGAATTACTTCAGAAAAGATTGAACATAAAGGTGAGTCCTTAGTTGCATCGACCATGCATTTCTATTCGTGATCACATTTTCCGTCCCTGGAATCTTAAGAAATTAAGTTCTTAAGATAATCAGTTTCAGTAATACAGATAGTTGACCTGTGTTAAACCATAAGGAAGCTACCTCTTTGAAGATCTAGTCTGTCCTTAAGAGTGTTATCTAAAGGGGCTGACACTACTTGCTGAAGTAAGGAGTCCCAGTCATTGACCACACGACGAGAGAGACGCAGATTCACACTATGTTGGTTCTATCGCAGTTTTTGAATTTTTATTTCTCCCCATGGAGAAAAACCAATTCTTTCGGGAGAGGAAAGATGGAACATCAGCACCGAAGTTATTAAGGTTACGGAATGCCAGTATGGGATCCCCCCCTTTTCTTACTGTAAGACGGAATAATTCTCGCCGATCTGGTCGTTCCTCATTGGCATATTCGAAAGGCCTACCTCAAGCTTAGTACCTACCCTTGAACTCACACAAGTACATCATCCTTTTTTAGGTATTGACTCGCTATCTGAATGCAGCATTCCAAGTGAGGTCTAACATAAGAAGAATAGAGTATTCCAAACACATCCTAATCAAAACTTTTGAAATCTCTGCGGATGGACCATAATACGCGGAAGCCCTTTGATTCAACTGAATTGTATTGTGTCAAAGTGACATTTTAGTCTTTCAGTTCAAAGACTGTGAGTAGTGGTGTACCATCAACGGTATACCGAAAACAATTGCTATGACCAATTTGCATTATTACAATTTTAACCGAGTTAATTTCCAGGCACCAACACTTGACCAACTTGCCAGTTCATCGAAATCCGCTTGAAGTGTATACCTATCAGCATCACTACGTATGACTCAAAACTTATACATCAGCGAAAAACATCAAAAAATTTAGCATTTATGGTAATTCGTTGACATATAGCAAGAAAAGTAGTGGATCTATGATTGTTCCTTGATGAACTCCACTCATCATAAGTTTCTACCCTAACAGAATCCACTAACTCTCACTCTTTGCATTCCACCGTACAGAAAGTCTTTAATCCAGGCTTGCAATGCAGCACCGAACCCGAAAGAGAAGAGCTTTCGTAGTAATTTCACATGTGACACTTTATTAAATCCTTTACAGAAATCTATAAACACGGCATCTATTGGTAGCTTGCAATCTTGGGATGCAACCCACTTCTCTCGTGATGAGGTTTGTTAGACAGGAGTTTCCAGTACGAAAGCTTTCTGTGTTGCTAAAATGTATCACTTGATTCAACATGGCTAAGTACCTTATCAGGAATTATTTTTTTCCAAAACCTTGGTAACTATACTAGTTAGACTCACAAGGCGATAGTTAGCCACCAACTGGCCTTAAAAACTGGGTTGGTTATGGCCTTGCTAGGGAGGCAAGTCTGATGTAGGGACATACTGAAAGGATCAATGACTGGCTTAGCAACAATATCCTCTAGTGAAGATAGCACTCTGATGTGCAACTCATCGGGACCCGGAGATTTTTCAGGTTTAGATTAATGAGCAACTGTAAGACTGTTTCCTTTGCTATGAACACTATCCATCGGTGGGGCATTACTGACACCACTGTTGGGCACTTCATCATCATGACCTACAGAGAAGACTTCACTAAAGTAATCCGATAGATATTCAGCTTTGGGCAAATTAGATTCCACCGGACTATCGGACTTTTTGTCCGTCATTATTAGTCCTAATAAATGCGAACAGTCTTTTAGGCCAGTTTTGGCAGTCATTCTTGCCTTCTAACGGCAGTGTGAATTCATTTACACTTAAAAATAATGCTTTTGATTGTGAACGCAATTTCATATTTAGTAAATAATCATATTGAGGTAACATGCAAGTTTTGACTAACTAGGCAGCCATTAAATTCCTCGAACTAACAAAACGTAGTCTACAGATCTAGTTTTCAAGTATGAAGCAAATCGGTTAATATAAAATTTGGAAATCAATGATGTGCTTACTATGACATATAAAGGGTAGCAACTTGAAAGTGACTACCTATCAAGCAACCTGAAACAACATTGGGGTATTAAAAATTCACAATAATCACATAAAAATTGCTACAACCTAATGCCATTTCACTATTTTCAAATGGTTTTTCGACAGGAGTTTTGTTTCTGTGAATGTTTTTGGTCAGGACTGGTTAAATCTATTTTTACGCTTTTGGTTGGATTTATTATCTTATAGTGTTATGTTTTAAAGTTTCCTGTAGGATTATCACCCAGCTAAGGTTTAAGTAGCCTATTAAGTGAAATTTTAGTCTCTATGGGTGATGGTAAAATGAGTTTTAAGTACCTCTATGTTTGAGTCTACTTCATTCAAGTATCGGTATTTGATTTCATTGTCAATATATCGTGGTTCTGGCTGCATCACCTCACATCAGAATATCAAGGTACAAGATAACAGAACGGAAAACAAATAATGCAGTCATAATTATCACGAAAGAAGTAGAGAAGGCAAACCAAATCCGGTATAATAAGTTGGCTAAAGGTGGTGCATGCTTACGTCTCGCCATACAGACAAAATCAACGTAGAACATCACGCGCCAGTAGATCAGTTGTCACATTTCACAGTAGTAGACAGTTGTATAAGAGAATAAAAAATCAGTGCGAATATTCAAGCTTTATAAGACACCAAAGAGTGAATACATCTCCACTGTGACCTATTTTCAGCCATGTCGCCCAGAATTTTCAACTTCAGATTCCTATCGTCTCGGCGACCCCAGCCAGACAGTCTACGCGGCTCACCAATAGTCATGGACTGGTGCCAGGTCTTGGTCTGGCTACCCTGAACCCTCTTCCGACTTCCCCTAGCATGTCACATCGAGGTAGGCGGTAGCCAGGCATACGCAACCTATGTACAAGCCATTTCAGTCGACTAAGGTTCGCGACCCTGTCTTGCCTAGTACTCTTTGCCTGGCCTCAACTTTGCTTACACGGTGATTCCACCATACATGAACAATACTACGAAGACACCTGCGGTCAAAAAATTGTAACCGCTTCATGTCTTCTACTTTTAACGACCATGTCAGCCAACGTCTGTACCATCTAAATCGGTTGGGAAAAATTTCATTTAGATTCTCCAGCCACTGATTTTCCGTTGTCTTATGGACCCTAACTAGGAAGTGTACATTTCCCTATATAACTCAAACCAATAGTCAGATTATGACTGATGTCATATTCTAATCTGGTCACCTAACTTTTTCCTCCCCTAAACCTATTTCAGCTAACAGTGCACGACGAGGAAGACGTTGACTGGGGATACGTAAGAGACATCCCAGCCGCCTCATCAACTGACTTTTCTCTTCTATCTAAAACTGCACACCTGACTTCCGCAATACTGATAAGCTGGCACTACGACATGTGTCTCTTAATAGTCAATCAGACATCCAGACAGCGCCATAAATGGCGTAATTTGGCGAAAGCCAAGCCAGCCATTTGTATTCGTGCTGAGATTTCGTCGCTTTCTGACCCCATCAGGGTTGATCCGACCTTCCAAATACATGATCCGATTTCCCTCACCACTTGACGTAGACAACTCATCTGACACATCATAGGGCTTTAGGGTGTGCATAGGTTTTCAAATATGGTCTTCAATGGATTTATGCACTTTCTCCCCTTTCAGTGCAAGGTCATAAGGCCTCTCAGTCAACAGAGTGAACTGCTGCCTCCGAGGAAAAAATAAAACCAGAGTTCCAAAATGAGATGGAAAGTGATCTGGTCGATACACTCGTGGTCATTTCTGATACTTACCTGGTTAAGTATGATTTGTTGTACCTGACTCCACCTAGTGGTCGAATGACACTGAATATAAAAGTGGAACATAAGCGCTGTGGTAGGGTGTAGTTTCATATCAGATTGTTTATTTGGTAAAGCACACAGTGAAACTATTATTTATTGGATGACGTCTCACTCAGAGTTTACTGCTCATTATCATATCGAAGTGACTAACTATAAGTGACCAAAAGCCTAGGATTTTGCGCACTACTGGTCAGGGTAATTCCTCTAGTTATGACGAGAGGTTTTCCCCCTTTCTTGAAAACTGGGACAATCAGCGGTCGAGTCCAGTCAGAGGTAATCTTATCTGATTTCTGTACATCTAGCCGTCTTTGTCAGTCTAACCAGTATTCGTATCCCGCCATTCTCAAGTACCTGTTTTTCAAGCACATGGGACCTTTATGCCCTTCATTTCAGGTTACTTTCAGCCTTTCAGAAGTATTCAAGATTTGGAAGTTATGCGTGATAAGTAAGTGATAAACTATACTCAAACCTTGAATACTGAAAGCGATAGATTTCCATCGTTTCTAGTTGTTACTTCTCAGTAGAAAAACAATATGGAAAAAGCGGATAATTGAGTTGTATAAAGTACTAAGTAACCGAACACAGTAACATGCCACCAGGTAGCTAGCTAGTTTAGGCTGCCTCATATACATACTACAAAAGAGCAATGCAAATTTAGTAAGTTTGTTTATACGATGTAAAAAAAGTAGTATTCCTATTTTATGCCTTAAAGGTCTTTTTGCTGTGGCAGTTATCAAGCAATCAGTTGTGTGAAGTTCCGAAAATATAAGGTAAGAACTAAAGCTGTTCCAGTGGAGGCTTAACATAAAGTTAACGGGAAAATGTACTGAGCAGAAGTTATCTCAGAAGCATTATATTGTTTTCTAAACTGAAAGCATCTATTTTTTTGAGATTTCTCATCTATCAGAGTCTCATTCTTATTAAACTGAACATTCTCAGTAATAAACTAGAGGTTTTTATAAACGTATGATCCTAATGTTTTGCGATCTTCCGAAGAAAAAGATTGGAAATATAAAATTTACATTTTTAAACACCATTTTCAAGTGATTTCTGTAAAGGTTTATGATAGACTATAATATTCTCTCTACTTTTCAATGTAAATTGCTCAAACCAAATCGATTATAATTCAATCTGAAGGTTTGTGGAGATCTTATTGACTTCAAGTTGGCATTCATCACGGACTGACATCAGTTGGAGAACCATTAAAAACTCGGGACCATTTGGATGGTTGTCTCGTCCTAGTATAGGACTTTCCGCAGTGTTCACCCATGACCCTACCAGGGGTCGAAACTAGGACCCAAGCACGTTACCATTGAATCAGCGCATCGGGATCCGACGGTCCTCACTTTTTCCTACTTTCGTTAGTTCGCGAGATAGTGCTACATCAATTGATGCCATCGTTGAATACCTGTTCTTACGTCTGACTTGGTTCGCCCCAACTGGTCATGACATTTTACTAGAATTTCTACAAATCTCATCTCGAAGCAGGTTACAATCATATAGACCGAGTCAACGTAGGACTTTGCACACAAGTGAATCGGTCCAAGTGGCCACACTTCACGGTAACATGCAAGGAAAAAGGGGATAGAAAAAGATTAATGTCAAAGCAAACAAAAGTGTTGGGGGGGGATGAAATTCCGAAACCAAGGTTGGTGAAAATGTGCGAACTTGAGAAGACATCGAAGAGCGAATAAATATGCACCATTGTACTCAATTTCTAGCCGTGTCAACAAGAATCACCACCCCCATTGATTCCTATCACTTTGTAGACCCCAACTAGACAGTCTATACGGCTCAGACCAACAGTCAGAGACTTTATGGACTGGTGCTACGTTTTAGTCTGGCCACCCTGAGCCCTCTTCTAACTCAATCCTACTTCAGTTAGCATTGCACGTCGAGGTAGACGTTTAATCGGCATGCGCAACACATTTCCAAGCCACCTCTTACTGGTACCATTTTCCTAACTTCTACGTTGCTCACACGTTCATTCCACTACACATGAGCAATACTACAAAGACGTGATGAAAAACCTACAAGTTTTTTATGTCCATCTTCAACAGCCATGTCTTACAGTTGAACACTCGTCAAGCGGATGTTTTAAGATCCAGCACATTGACCAGGTGAGGTCAGGTTGATAACCACACTCATGTCCTCTATGTGTGTCTCAGAAACACTGCGTTCAACCATGATTCGAGACTAGAGTTCTGACAAAAGATTTGGCATTAGGTCCGAAATTTAAAGGATATGGCGTGGAACTGACACCCGGGGCTTTAGGAATGGTGTTCCATTGGTTTGGATCGTTGGCAATGGTCTCATATTGAGAAATTTGTAGTAGTAATTAGGAAATGAAATCAAGAGAGGAAAAAGAGGTTGGTCATTTAAGTCTTGTGTACTATTAGATGGTTGACACTTTCCGGCCGCTCACACCGTGGGAGACTAGCTCTCCTTGAGCTGGCTGTAACGGATGGGTTAGTGCGTGACCGCAGAACCCAAGGAATATCGGTTTGAGGCCGGTGACACATGACCTTAGAAGTTTTGAGGTTTTAACTTGCTTTTCATTAATCCGACTACGAACCCGTATTGCCGGCACCGGTATGCTGCAAAGTATAGAGGAGTGCTGTTTTCAGGGCCGGTCTTTTCTATTTCCCATCTCCATAGGAAAGCCAGCATCAACTGAGCAATACTGGCCATTCCCAGGAAACACCCTACTGCTGTCATACCTCACCCAGCCAGCGGTACAACTTCGTCCTTGGACCTCCATCATAGAGTAGCAATTTATGCTATAATGGTAGCTGATTTTTGTCTTAGGACTACTCAACATACCTCTCTTGCATAGTAGGACCTCGAGGGACCAAGCGTTCCAACAGCACAGTTCGTTAGTTCATAGTGATATGCAGGCCCAACCACCACATCAAGGTAGCAGCCATCAGTCGATCCTATTCAAAATGGTTCAATTATCTGCTTTGGTGAATCACTGCCTTGTTTTCAATAGTTACGTACTGACTGTCATGCGATTGTTCCTAAAACAAATAGTTGTCCAGTTGACTAATAACTAGCACCGGGTCATAGAAACCGCTTGTCTACTTTTGTATATTGGTTAGAGCACTTGTCGTTATATATTGCACCACTTTTATTTCAAATAACTATGGTTACATATAACTGATTATTGGTAACTTAGGACTCAAATAGTCAAGATAACTCTTGTCGGTTATCCACAGCGCTAAAATTTATCATGCACTCACTAAAAGCAAGCTGTTTCGTCTGCTTAGGAATTTATACTGTGAATAATACGTTGCTCTGTGTCGAAATGATAGAAAAGATTTGTAGCTCAGGGTGTGGATGGTGGTTTGATTTTTTCTAAGCTTTAATATTTTGTCATGAACTTTTCATCACCAGGCTTGGTGACATCTTCAGGACTAACTTCATAAAGAAGTCTTCTTCTACGTGTATCACCTGACTTTTAACCGTGTAGTCAATTTACAGCTCAGTCCATGTGTTGATGTTCCACCGAGTGTTGCTCAATAAAAAAGAAGATTTAGTTCAATGGCATTTACACTTGTCAGAGGTTTCATGCAACCAATTGTAAAGCATCTAAGAAAAGTTGCTTGTATAACCATGTTACCGAGAGTTATATCATTTTTTTTTGATAGAGTTGTTGAAGTTAAACTAATTAGATGGCTACTAATGGTACATGTGATATCTACTCTTGAAAAATTGTGTACATCTTAGCAGGCAGGATCTAGCCTTGTTTATTCGATACAAAATAACGAAAAACATTCTTTTTATCTGAAGTACACATAGACGAACATGTAATTTATTTGAATTTTTCTCCCATTTAAATCAAGGGCACCGGAAATATGATGTCTATGATGGTTCAAGCACCTACAAATCAGCCATCAGAAGAATCCGAAGAACAACCGGTATCTACCAAAATGTCATTCTCAGTAAAACTTGTAAAATTTGATGCTGCAAAAAAAATTCAACTTATCAAAGAAATTAAACAGATCGCTCCTGAAATGAATCTCGTGCAAGCTAAGAAGTTTGTAGAAGTAAGTTGCAATAAATGTGAATATGAGGAATGGATATATACACCTATATAGCTGTAGTTTTTAATAGTAGCATTTTATCTGTTAATATTTTCTGTGCATGATGGGACAGATGGGACACATCTGAACAATATATCGGCTAATCCGGTTGTGAAACTAAGTAGCTCTTAATACCGCGAATGAGTAGTTTTGTAGTTAATTTCAATAACCACTGAAAAATTATGAGCATTGGATTGTTGCCGAATTCTATCGTTAAATTAGTTATCCAATAGTGTCGACTAAAGAACTCGAAACTTCGTTAGCACCTATACGTTTAGCATAAGATTACATTACACTTGATAAAGGTAATCACCTTGACTCACTTATTAACGTAAAGCTATTACGTCACTACAGAGTTAGGTGTAATCATTCCAGATTTTTAGTCACTTATGAACTGGTAAATTATATCTTCTTTTCCAGAGTGCACCTGCAAATGTGAAGACGGATGTACCGAAGGATGAGGCTGAACGAATAAAAAAAGTATTAGAGGAAGCAGGAGCATCTATTGAAATTGAATAGATAGTTTATATACATACTAAATATATTGAATATGATAGTCACAAGGACTTTTTTTTGTAAATCATCAAATTTTAGATGGCTTCAGTTGTTTGAGTTGCCCTTCAAAGCTAAATAGCCATTTATGACGTGTTGAGGTAAATATCGTAATCTTCGAAATTCTGAAGAAGATGCATAATCAAGTTTTGTTAATGGATCTGTGTATGCAGTTGGTATTCCACTAAGATCAGACACTTTCATTGGTGGACGAGCACGTGGTGGTGCACTTATATGGCCATAAAGAACGGCGTCTGAGGAATAGTCAACCTGAAATGAACAGAATAGACAAATATTAAGTTGAAACTGATTATATATAGGCTTTCATCATTCCTCATACTTGATAACATTTTTTTCGTACATAACAAACATTAGGGAAAGGTGTAATTGCAACTCAATAACTATGTACGCACGTGTGTATAAAAAGAGCCCAGGTGAAAAGTGGGACATATTTACGAGTCAACTGTCTAAGCTCCCATCCTATAGACTGAGTACTGACAGATCTTTTTTCAACAATATCTTGATCATTCGTTTATGGTGGTACCGTTGAGTCAACAACAGTGAGATAAGGCGTGGAGTGTCGCGATTAAGAATCAAGTCAGCTGACGAGGTGTTTGGTATAGGTGCTTAGTTATCGGCTACGTTGATAAGAGCATGGGATTACAGTTTTTGAGGTTTCTTACTACCAATCTGAGTTAGAAGGAGAATGGTTGACTTTCTGGTTGGAAATTTTAAAGGAAATCGCACTTATGGAGATGCATATACACTTCAATCCCCCTTTAACTTGGGAAATTCCGCCATCTTTCCTCTTCCTACTGCTACTGTTAATTGCCTTTTTCTCATATTGCCTAACTAATATGCACGGCCTTCTGAACCCTTTGAACAAAAATCTAAGCAGTTTTGGTATACAATTTTACACCTATCACTATTTTAAGGTTAAGAGGCGAAGCGGTCGGGTGCATTGAACGTTTCACTCACTTAGGAAGCTGCATCAATTCCTAGTGGGTTAGTTATCTACGAAAGCTTAAATTTTTAAAAACTCTAATGCTTGTAAAGTTACTATTTCTGGTGCCAACAGGATACTCAATTACCTATCAGAAGTCAAAGCACACTGCAACCGTTTGTTCAGGATATATTTTTTGCAATAAATACCTTAATTCACACGATTAACTTTGAGTAGACAGTCTCTAGCTAGCTACGACCGAATTCAACAGACAAATTAACGCAATACATAGTACAAAAGTGCATTGGTTCCCTTTGCCACACATCACAGCAGCATGCAAAGTGGGTAGAAAAAGTAACATTAATGTAGACAAGTGTATGAAATAAGGGAGAATAAATAGATGAAGACTGATGCGAATATTCAAAACTTTGAAGATAACATGTAGTGTATACATCTGCGAAATTGTGTCCGATTTTAAGCCATATATTACCAAGAGTACCCAACCATTGATTCCTATCTTATGCAGGACCCAAAACAGGTAGTTCAGATGTTCCTATGTGACTCAGACCAGGTGTTGAGGACTTCATGAATCGATGCCATCTGTTGGTCTAGCCACCTTCAGTCTTCTTCCTACTTCGGCTATCATTGCACGTCGAGTCATTGGATGCCTCGGCTTGTGTAACAAATGTTTGAGTCACTTCAGTCGCTGAAGATTCATAATCGCATAATAAAACACCAGGCTGTAGTGCTACATACTCGTCCTCAAATAGGTGGTCATAAATCTCGCCAACTCCAGTAGTGGCGTAAGGTGGCAAATGTGAAACGCCCTTCTGTTTCTGGACTATGATTCCCTCAACAAGCAAACCATCATTCAGGTTGATTCAGCTCCCGGAATAAGGTAACGCACTGCACCTGTTCATTCCCTATCCTTAAACCAGGAGTTAGTTTAAGGCAGTCCTGAAGCATCATCTTACATTTAACCATCGGAAAACGTACTCAAAAACTTCTGCTTATGGTGTTCAGCTTCTTCACACAACAGGATAGTGTTGTCTGCGTAGTCCTAGTGAACTAGGTGCCGTTATGGGAGTCAATCAGTTCCTGAAAAGTGGAGGTACCTAGGGTAACTGACTAACATGCGTAAGTGGCAACTGATGGTCAATCAAAAAGAACTTTTGACACACAATTATCAGATACAAACATGTTGGCATTATGTCGTTAGGAAAGGAATTCTTAAACGTTAACTCAATAAAATGAAGATGCTTACCTGAGATTCCGCATTTAACACCTGCTTGATACTCTTGAAAGTCGTTTTCTTTCGCTCTGATGCTTTTGAGCCACTAGACTCTGGGACTGTCATTATAGAAAACGTCTCACTTCAAGGTTAATATGGAGTCACCGAGAAATATCTATGACAAATAAAGAATAGTGCATGGTTATTACATATGTACTAGATTTCTCCTTATTATTAGTATACACTGATAGATGGATGTTTCTTGAAACGTTTAATCTACTGTGAATCAATATAGCCATCCTCATACATTTTTAAATGAATCCACTCCTACGAAAATTTCGAAATTCACAGTTTCATACGGGTTTAAACAGAAAACAAAAACTAATTAGAGTTTTAATAAAATCAGTGTTCATAGCCCATAATATCAAACATTAAACATATTCTTCTGCTGTTGAATCAAGTACGTAACGCGTTCTAAACCTTACTCATCTAGTTTCGATTTCTGAATTGCCTCAACTTTCCGCTGTGAGTCACTACTATCTGTCGATTATCTTTCATTATTAAATGTAAGTACATATTGTGTGCTTGCCGAGTCGTCGGTTCAGGTATTTTTCCTCCAGATTCTCGTATTTATCACCCTCTCACTGCAACAGCGTACCTACAGGCTAGAGAAAAACTACCAAAGGCTTATTGTTACGAGTAGAATCCGAATCGAATCGAAATTCGCTTAGAAACCACGTGCACATTCTTGCAGTAGGCAACGAGTCGCGTTTATTGTGTTAAGGCTAATGATACTACCTGCCTACCCAAACCTATGCCATATTTATTAGGCTACGAATCAAAAATTGTGGCAGCCTGTGATACTACCTATTTACCCATGTTGTGTAGTGGGAGTCCGAACCAGACACCCATTGCCTGAAAGTCGAGCGCATAAACCAGTGCAATCGATAAGTAAGTACCAAACAGTTTGACAGATGTCAATGTGGAAATTTGCACATAAAAAGAATACTGAACAGCCAGATACAAGGAAATCAACATACATATAAGAGGGATGGATCAGCCCACACTTCATGACAAAACAAAAAGTAAATTGATAAATACCATTAAGGTGGACAAAAGTGAGGACAGATAGTAAAATAAAGTAAGCTGCTTAAATTTTTCATAAGTGATTCATAGTTCATACATTTGTGTCCCTGTAATAGATTCTTAACCAACAATTAAACAGTCAATCAATCAATATCAACATAGGACCAGGCGTTACTGCGTAACGGTCCAACTTGCCACACCTCATATCACTACATCAAATAAAAAGGTAGTGAAGTGAAGGATGAAGATAAGAGAATGCAGTCAAAAGAAACATAAAGTACGAGAAGAAGGAAATAGTAGTGACAAAATGGTGAGATTCAGCATAGTGTCGTTAAGATGAGGACAATATGTGTATACATCTGCGCCACTGATATCGGTTCTCAGCCATATCATCTAAAGTCTCCAACTACTGGTTCCTCTTGTCCCGCCAACCCCAACCACCTAGTCTCCATCGCCTCATATGGCTCAAACCAACAGTCAGAGACTTCATACATTGGTGCGATGTTTTAGTCTGGCCACCTCGGGCCTTTTTCCAGCCTTGAACCTACTTCGGCCAACATTGTGTTACGAGGCAATCGGTGACTGGGCATACGTAGTGCGTGTCCCATCTCAATCGATGAAGGTTCATAACCTCGTCGACTGATTTGCCTCTACTCCTGACTTCTGCATTACTCACGTGGTTCGGTGACACCACGGAATACATCCTATGCTACGAACACAACGACGGTCAAACACTTGAAGCCTTCTCATATCTTCCACTCCCAATGGCCATGTTTCACAGTCAGAACCAACGTGGTAACTAGCGTTACTGCGCAACGGTTCAAGCCAACACACCTCGAATCAACACAGCAAGCGAGAAGGTACACATGAAACATAAAGACATAAGGAAGAAAAGAGGCGAAGGTCATGGAAAGAGAACAAGGAAAAATGAAACGACTGCAAATTTTGGTATGACGATCAAGATGAAGATAATGTGTGTATGCACCTTCGCTACTGTGGCTGATTCATAGCTGTATCACCTAGAATCACCAGTCTCTACTGTAGTGTGGACCCTTACCAGGTAGTCTCTATCCTTCTACAAGGCTCAGACCAACAGTTAGAGATTTCATAGGATGATGAAATGTTCCAGTCTATCCACGTCTAACTTTCTTCTCATCTAAATGTACTACAGCTTATAACTGATGAACGGATAGACTATAACTAGGGATGTGCAACAACACATGTCCCAGTCATCTGAGTCGATGAAGGTCCACAAAATAAGCAACTGGTTTAACTCTTCTGTCCTAAACTCTACGCCTGAATTCTACTTTAATGACTTAGTGGTTTAAAGAATTAGTCTCTTTGATGAACTAGCATAATGTAATAAGAAGACAGCTTGTCTAAGAAGTATAATGTATTTGAGCAGTAAATTTAAAACAATCTAACCACATATTTTCTTACTAAAGTATTTTCATATGAAAGGTGAAAACAGAGTGGAGTAAGACAGATAAAGTATGATAATACAAGACTTGAAAAATAAAGAGGAATAATACATTCTTACACAAATGTCAAGTGCAATCAGAGACCAATTACGGAAGGTTTTATAAACATCCAGGCCATTATTATTATTTGTCCCTTGGGTTCCTAGCGGAACATAGGGCTTCAGTAGCACGTCTCCATTACACTCTCTTCTCTGCAGTCTTTTTAACCTGGCTCCACGACTGCCCACAAACTTTCATTTCTTCCTCACATGATCTCCTCCATGTCACCCTCGGACGCCCAACTCGTCGTTTCCCCTTTGGATTCCACTCGAGGGACTGGACGATAGGCCCTTGGTTGGTTTGTTCTCAGAGTTCCTTGTTGCTTATTCTTACTGGCCATCTGATCTTGAGCAGCGAGGGTAGGCAGCTGTTGATGAATGTCTGTAGTTTGTAGGAAATGCTTTTCGTGACGCGCCAAGTTTATAGACCATGTAGAAGCACTGACTTGACGTTGGTGTTGAAAATCCACATCTTGTTCTTCGTGCTTAGTGCAGTAGATCTCCACACTGATTTCAGATTAATGAAAGCCTGCCACCAGCGCCGCCTGTAGTTAAAACGATGCTGCCTAGGTAGGTGAACGAAACAACTTTTTTTAATTCCTCCCGTTGATGGCGATTGGTGCTTGTTGTTGTTGGTTGGGTATCTTCATCACCTCTACGTTCACTTGAAGTCCCGTTTTGGCTGCCTCTCCTGACAACTTGCTGGATTTTGCCTGTAGAGCTTCGACTTTGTGCGACAAGACATTAGACATAAATCATGATAGGCGAAATCCAAATCTTCTCCTGAGGTCTTTCCATCGGTCCAGCCAGCGCATACCCATCTTCTCGCTCTTCACAGTTTGTTACATGATCCAGTCCAGTCGACCACAATCAGGAAGATCATTGGTGATAGTAGGTAGCCTTGTCTTACACCAGTCTTCACTTCAAGGGCGTCTCTGAACTTCTCATTGTGAATCACTTGGCATGTGGCGTCTTCGTATAGCTGCTGTTGAATGAGATTGATAAAGGCTTGTGGCACTAAAGCCGTAGTGTTGAGGCAGCCGCCTGTCAAATTACTTGTCGGTCGACGCTATCGAAGGCCTTTTCAAGGTGGATGAAGTTAAGATAAAGAGAGTTGACTGCCATTCTACACTCTGTTCTATGATGATGAGTAGCGTAGGGTTGTAATTTGATCCACACATGATTTTTTCTTCCCGAAGCCAGTCAGCCAGCCTGTTCCTGTGGTAATTTTGTATCCAGAGCATCATTCAGTCTCCCCAGGATGATGCGGCCATATATATGCTTGAGATGGACAGAAGCGTGATTCCGCGCCAGTTCTCACAAAGACTTTGGTCGCCCTTGTTTCGCAGTTTGACAAGGTAGCCCTTCTTCCAATCAACCTGCAGGTACCTTTTCTTCCCTCCTTGTAAACCTTCTGCAATAGTGGTGTGAGCATGTCCTCTGTTGTCTCTGCGTATGTTTTTACTGCTTCTGGTGGAATTCCATCTGGTCCTGCTGCTTTCCCGAATTTCAGTGACTTTATGCCACTCAGGACTTCTGCCTTTGTCGGAGGGCCTGTGTTCACTGATAGTTCTGTGACTGGACTGCTGGTGGTATTTCTGGACGAGTTGCAGGTTATGGTGGTGGTCGATTCAAGAGTTTTTTGAAGTGGTCAGCCCATCGTTTCCTTTGCTAACTAGGTTTCCTTCGCTATCTTTCATTTGTTTCGTCTGAGTTGATCTCTGGCCAGATGGTAGCCTGGTTATTTGATATAATTTCAGGTCTCTCCTACCTGCAGCCTGTTCTGCTTTACTTCCAAGTGTGTAGTAGAAGTGTGTTTTGTCTCTGAGTGCCCTCCTCCCCACTTCTTTGTCCAGCGTAGAGTTTTATAGGTTGTGTTCAGCTCCTCTTTTCGTTGTTCATCCTTGCACTGCTTTATCTTCTCCTTCACTATCCTCCTCTCCTCTATCAGCTCCCGTGTATCCGTCGAGATCCATTCTTTATCTTCTTTCTTCCTAATACGGTTATGCAGGTTTCTTTCCACATCTCTTTCAGAGAGTTCCTGTGTTCTTCCATGCAGGTCCCTTCAAGGATGCTGCTCAATGTCTTCCGTTTCGTCCTGATGACCGACGTGATGCCCTTTGTAGTTTCATCCTTCAGTTTCTGTTCTAGGTGTTCAAATTGAATTGAAGTCTATCACCAGCTTCCTTGAAGGCTTTCAACTTGATTTTGAAGGTTTCTTGCACTAGATAGTGAGTGGTGTGAACCCGTCCACATCTGTTCCTTTTCTTGATCTGATCTTGTGTCCAGTAGGTTGCGTCTTCACTTTCTTCACACTGAGATGAAGTCCATCTGGTGAAATCCATTTCGCCTCGTGAATATCCTTGTGTTTGTACACACTGCCTGCAATCACCAAATCGTTGAATGAGCAGAATTCTGAAAACAGTTCTCCATTCTCGTTCATTTCACCGAGTGCTTCTCAACCCATAACGAGTTATCTACCTGTATTGTCCGCTCCCAGTTCAGCATTCATGTCACCACA